AAACTTTAAAATATAGAATATGCACTCATACATACATTATATGATCATTTTTAGTTTTACATCTCTGTAAATTTTAAATTTGATATAATAATGACTGATATGATAATAATTTTGTTGAAAGAATTATACATTATTATATATTATTTTTAAATAGTTTAGAATATGTTAATATAAATAGATAAATTTAGAAAATTACATTTTTACAATATGTAGAAAAGCAAATCGTAATTCTTCTTTTCTTAAATAAATTCGCAATGAAATAAAAAATCATCGATATGTTATTAACTGTGCACTTGCATACATACTTAATGTATTCAAAAGATTTTTATTATTTCGGATAATTAATTATTAATTTCGTAATTAATTTCTAAAAACGATAATTAAATTAATATTTTAATAACTTCACGATATTTGGTTTCATCTATCCCTTGATGTTTATTAAACAGTTATATTTCATATACATTTTACTATAGGTGCAACAGAAGAAAATATAACCGTACAATTTTATATCCTTGTTCGATGTCAAAAATATATTATTTATATTTTACATGAATTATTTAACACATTATTAACATTTGTGTAGTGCGTAAATCATCGTACAATTTTTAAGAACGCTTTGAATTAATAAACGAAAAGACTAAGCGATCAAACGTATGTACTCCACAGTATAAACAAAATCACATCACCGATACCTAAGAAGCATGTACGCATATACATACCCTGATTCGACGCCGGCTTGAAAACTGGCCGTTTTTCTAATTGGTCGACAGATTCATAGCACTAGAGTGCTCTAACGAACACCAATGGAGGTAGAAATACATTACAGTTTGTTAGAAATAAAGAAAATAAAATAAAGATAGAACATTATTTATTACAATAAAGGGCATATTTGATTATTTATTAATTCAAATATGTTAATCAGTGCTGTTAAAGCTAATTCTGCACGTAAAACAAACATTCCCGTCAATGAAAATTCAGTGTTTGTAAAAGATGAAGGATTTAATAAGAAAACTAAATACTAATTTAATTGAAATCTTAGCCTTCATAGAAAATATTAAAACATTGAAGTGTTTTATAAATACAACATAACGTCGATTATGTAAACTAATTGGGAGACAAATCTATTCAAATAATCGGTATTTCGGAAAATCTATCCAAGAAAAGGAAATTTTAAATTATGTCATAAATCAAGAAATTAAAAGTTTTTTAACTATAAATGTTTTTTACGTGAAAGAATATATATCTAATAATAAAAATACGGAATAAAAAATAAGTTATATATAAATTAAAAATAAACATTTATACAGCATCTATTCTTTTTTGATGTTGTACTCATTGTAATGCAATACACAATTTCGTACATCAGAATTCGCATAATTAACGTTTGAATAATATCTTCTAATAGTAAACGTTGTTTTTTATTTGTGGATAAATTAGTAGCTTCTAAAAATCGGTTATGTTCTATTATTCTGAGAAATTTTCACATTTTACTTGTTTTTTATTTTATATAAAACGTTTATTATAAAATTTCATAAATTAATCACAGAAATTCAACGATTTGTTAATTTTTCTCCAAGTGAACAGGAGAGTGCATAGCAAATGAGAAAACATTGCAAACAAACGCCGGAAGCATTGTTGTGTCCATGCAGGTGTGTCTGCATCACGAAAAGGATGTAAGTATTTGTATTAACATAACCTTTAGTTGTAATTAAATAGCGTAAGTTATGAGCTATTGTTTTTCCACTTTTCATTAGTGATAGCAGAGCTTGATTATGAAAAGACAATATTCTGTTGAAATAAACAGGTACGTGCAACAATAGAAAAATATTGGACTCATGGAATATCATCAGCATAGATGCCAAGAATTATATTTTATAGCGAGAAAAAATTGAAGCAGCAATACAGATATGTAAAGTATGATGCGTCTCTTGGATTCTAAGTGGAGTAGCCGTATGACATACAAGATAGAAATCTTTGATGGTCAAATAAAGATTCAGAAAATGGAGGTGGTTTAAGCAGACAAAAAGGAATAGAATTAATTTAGGTTATGGCCCCTTATAACAACAAGATATGGAGAATACAGTGAGATTGAAAGGTATGTTGTATTCCTGATATAAATGAATATTAATATGAGTGGTCAAAGTCAATGATCATCGCTAATGTGTTAAATTCGAATAAAAGAAGTGACAAGAGGAACCGCATGTTATGCAGAATCAAGAAGCAAAAAAGATGCAGCATATGTATCAACAGAGAAAAATGTGTGGCATCGACATAGAAATATGAGGATCGTTGAACACATGGAGAATGAACAATTGATAATAGTTATGAAAGGTAAAGTTAAATTGAACATAGAGTGTAAATGTTGCATTAAGGCAAAAATGTCTAGTAATATCTATAGGGATTGGAAACTATAAAAAAAGCAATTATAATGGTGCTGTGGCACATCATGGACTTCATTGGGCCAATAAAGCCAATGTCAAAAGGAGGTAAAAGCTATGATTATTCGAGAAAAGAACCATTTGGTTGACTGATTAATAAATAACTAAAGATTTAATATGAAATATTATTGATGAAGGATTTTTTCTATTATAGGAGACATACAAACATGAGTAATATTTATATGCA